CTTCAGTCTACTGAGAGCAATATTTGAGGGACTTTTCAGTGTCCAGACTTCTTCTAGGGGTTTGTATTTGTGAAAACAAATCTGGCTCTCCAATCTACAAGCTGGGAGTTAGTGCCCCAGAATGCTTTGTTCTTTTCTCTGTGTTGTCTTCAGTGTTCTCAGTTTCTCTATTTTTCTTGTTGGCTCTTTCCTGATTCCTGGAGCTTTTACTCCTTTTCTTTAAGTGGTTGTTCTCCAGGTGTCTGGAATCTAGATCCTTGACAGGCCATGGTGTACTGCCAACCTTTAGCCTATCCTCTTTCCTTCTTCACCATTTCAACACATATTTACAGCCAATCCTACTTTTCTTGTACTACAGCTAAACTTTCAGAGTTGTGCAGGTGGTGACAGCAATGAATCCGTGAGTGCAGCCTCCAAGCTCACACACTTAGAGGAAGAAGGCACAGGCACAGGCACCTAGATGTTCATCCTATGCTGTATTCTAAAGGTCTTATAGTTTTAGGTTTTACATTAAGGCTTGTGGTCCATTTAGAGTTGATTTTTATGGACAGCATAAGCTTTCTCCCACTTCCCCAACTCCTACTTTCCTTCAACTCTTAAGACCCCCAAGTAGGCATGCTTTAATTCCATTCTGGTACTTGTGACCTGTAATTAACATTAGATCTTATAGGTTAAGGCATCAGCCCACTGCATTGCCCTTACTCCAGGTGTCAATTTGAAGTCCAGGTTGTGTTTGTCTCTGACTGGCTTAATGATTGAAGTGCTATGCCTATGTGTCTCCCAGGAGTCTCGTGTGATCTTAGGTGGGGGCTTTGGAAGGTGATTGGAGTTATTGGGGTGTTGTAGATGACTGTTAGGAGGTGGGGTCTGGTTGGCGGAGGTGGGTCACTGGGACCATGATGTGGAAGGGTATATTTCCCTCCCCTCTTTCACTGTCTCTGTTTCATTTGCTTTGACAGAGGGTACAGGGAATAGAGCTTACAACCTCACACTTGCCAGGCAGGTGCTGTGCCACTGAGCTACATCCCCAGCTGTCTCTGCTTCTTGGCTACTGCAACATCAAGTTTTCCTCTGCAATGTCTGTGCTTGTTCTGCCCTGGAGCTGGGTGACAAAGAACTGAAAAACAAACCAAAATAAACCTCTCCTTTGAGTTGTAGGTGTTGGATGTTGTGTTTTAGCGAGGAAAAAGGAACTAAGATGGTTATGGTACTGAGACAGAGCTGTTGCTATGGCTGTAGTTGGCCATGTGGCTTGATGCCTTTGGAACTGGTTCACCAGAGGGGTTTGGAAGGATTTGAAGATTCTACAGCTTTAGAATGTTTGGTAGGAGTCTCTGGTTGGAGCTCAGAAAATCAGAATGCTGATAGAAATGCAGACAGGAAAGGTCAGGTTCAGGAGGTTTCAGTTGGGAACATGGACTACATCGGTAGTTGAACTTGAGACCATGCATGTTACACTCTGGAAGAAAACTTACATTTTGGTCGTATCCTGAGACTTTTCAGGAGACTGAAATTAGTGTGGCAGAATAATTTATCTGGTGGAAGAAATTTCAAGGACCAGCACTAGGACTATGGCATAAATATTGTTGGGGCTCTTAGCCAAGTTTATGCTGAAAACCAAGCATACAAGGCCTGTCTAAAAGGTTTTCAGCTTTTCCAGAATGATAGTGACTACAAACATGGACTAGAGGAGAGCTCACTTGCTGAAAAGATTATCATTAAAGAGAAACCAAGTACTTTGTATCAGGATAATGGAAAAATGGCTCAAGGACATGCCAGGAATCAGTCAGATTGCTCTCCTCAAAGGCTCAAGGGTGCAAAGCTACAAAGTTTTCATTTGAGAAGAGTCCCAAGTTGGGCTTCAGAGCAGCTGGGTAGGGATTGGGTTCCCTGAGATGCAGTTCACAGTGCTCAGGTACCCAGGAACTCAGGGCCTCTGCAGAGATGACCCAAAAGGGTTAGAGACCCAGAAGATTCAGTAGCTGTTCTAAGAAGCTGGAAGCCACAAAGCATGAAGGATGAGGAAGGTAGCACCAGGACAAGAGGAAAGCTGGAAGCTGCCTAGACAGTAGCTGGTGTCTTAGTTACTTTTTTACTCGTTGCTGGCGCTCCACAGTGAAAAAGATCGAAACTCCACAGTGGCGAAACTCCTCCAAAGTGGCGCTGCTACGGAGATCAGAGATCAAGCTCCTCCAAAGACTGAGACCTCCACGGAAGAAGCGTGGCAGAGTGGCAGGAAAGCAGGCAGGGCGACTTCCTGCCTTTCTCAGTTCCTGGCCCCCATGCTGAGAGAGCTGCCAGGAGCTGATTCAGCCAAGTTGACACAATGTATCAACTAACACAGCTGGTATAAGTCTTCACTGATCCACTGAGGGACCCAGGGTCTGATAGCCACAAGCCATGGCAGTGGCACAGTGTGCACTCCCTCAGGCAGTGCAGAGCTTTGCAAAGGCAGGCTGGCTTCATCCCTCTTCCCTTTTTGTTCCATCTAGGCTGCAAGCCTATTGGATGGTGCCAACCCCAATCAGGGTGGGCCTTCTTTCCTGTTTCCTAGCATCTGTGGCAGTCACTTCTGGAAACACCCCCCACACACCCAGAAGTGGGCTTGACTACTCTGGTAGGCTTTTCTTGATCCAATCAAACATGATTAATGGTGACTATTGACCAAATATATGCAGATGTGTGTTTGTATGTGTATATACACAAGTAAATCAGTATGTATATATTTATATACAGTAATCTATGTGTCTCTGTATACACATGTGTGTATTGGTAGGCATACATTTATATACAGTAGTCTCATTTATCCATGGTTTTTGGTTTTCATTGCCTGTAGTCAGCTGTAGTCTAAAATTATTCAATGGAAAATTCTAGAAAGGAGAAATTTATGTTTTTAATAACTATTAGAGTATGTTATTCTTTTTTAAAATAATTTTATTGAGAAACAAATAGCAATGAGAGTTTCAAAATTTATTAGTACGACAGTTTCAATAATTAATATATTGCATATTGTTTTCATACTAGTTATTCATAGTACAAGATGCAGATGTGATAACCGGTCCAAACACTATTAGTACAAATCTTTCTTCTCATTGAATTAAGAGAAAGTAGCTGTATATCTATCCTAACTATTTTGTATATACAGATACAATATGGTCCTTCATTTGTATCCCCTTTCTTTGTTAGTTTTGTCAGAGATGGGTATTCCATTGCCACTTAAATATTGTAGGTGCATGAATTCAGCAAAATAATCCAATACAGTCCAATAGTCCATAATAGTAATGGGTTATCTGTAGAACTGGCAATGTCAGAAGTTGTTGACTTGAGCCTTTTATAGCTCAGCATATTAATATGGCTTTACTTTTTATATTTCATTTTTATATTTTTCTGCTGGATGGTTAAGACCAAGATAAAGCAAGACCCATTTAACTAGAAATGTAACTTTTGTATCTGGTAAGGTCAGTCAAATCCCCTCAGGATTACCCTGAAATCCTGTACTGCAGTTTGTAGAACCTTCGTCAGTGTCAGCCATGTGGATGAGTCACGGCCATTGCTTGACCAATTTGCTCTCTGTGAAAGCCTGAGAGAATATTTTCTCTCCATGTGACTCTCCTTAGGCACACAGAGTACGTTACGCTAATTGCTCTATGCTCTTGTTAGCTGGTTTTGTTAATCTCTTACTGTGCCTGATCTATGAATCAAGCCTTGTATGTGCATGTGTATAGGAAAACGTATAGTGTATATCAGCATCAGGACTAGCTGTGGTTTCAGGCATCTACTGGTAAAATCTCCAACATACAGGGAAGTGGGGCTGCTGTTTCTCAGTAGTAGATCAAGGTGCCATTACTCAGACACATATCATTTTAACCGACCCATTAGCATTCTCTTCATCCATTCTGTGAGTGATGAGCCCTCTGCATTTCATGCTGGGGAGGTGCTGCAAGGCCACGGCTGAGTGGGGAACTCGGACTCCAGCCCGGCAGCTCAACATCTTCCATGCTGTATTCACATCAAGAACTCATCTCTCCTCTCTAACTTCTATTTTCCATTATGTAAAAATAATATGGAGCATACCAGGGCCCCTTTATTGATGCTGTGGTGAGCAGGAATAAAGAAAAATATCCAGGCAGAATGTACAAGTGTAATAGTTGGCACATAATAAACCTCACGTATGTTAAATAATAACATATAACTGTCTTGCTCCTTAACTCGGCTGAATAAAGTCTCTGATGAATAGATCTTATATGTGTTAAATCCCTGAACCAGGGGCTAAATGCTGTACAGCAGGGGGCAGACGTTCACTGACTCTAATTCCATGACGGCTTTCCTTTTCTCACAGCTCCATCAAGCCTTGCCATCTCGATAATAGTGATTGTCTACAACTATTGGTTCATTTACCTCCCTTATCTGACATGGCTCTACTTTGATTGGCTGACCCCAGACAAAGGAGGCAGGAGATCTTCCTGGGTCAGAAACTGGAATTTATGGAAATACTGTCAGGACTATTTTCCACTTAGAGTGAGTAGAATTGTTTTACACAGTGCGGTTCTGAATTGGGAGAAGAGTGCAAGTTTGTTTTCATTATATAGATCTAAAGCATTTGCCCTTTCAAAGGGAGGGTCTAAGTCCATTCTGTGCTCCTCTCATGGAGATGGAGTGCATGGTAGAGAAAATAAGTTTATTTTGTCATAGCTCTGGAAGCCAAATGGTCCAGTATCAAGATGCCAACATCTGCCAAGGGCCCTATTGTTACAACATCCAATGGCAGATATGGAAAAGTGAAAGAGGGTAAGAGAGAACAAAAGGAGGTGAAACTTGTCCTCTTAGAGGAACTCATGTCCACAATCATGGTGTTTCCCTATTTACTTCGCCCTCCTGGCCCAATCATCCATCATAGGATGATGCACTAGGGGTTGAGTTCCTCATAGGCATGCTCTGTGGACACATTGAAGCCATAGCAAGAAGAAAGCCTGCACTTTGACCTACATTATTAAATGAGCTTTCAGCTGAATTGCCAGAATGTGGAAGGCTGTTTATGAAGGGATCCCAGCTCAGAGGACAGCTTAGATGCTCAGAAATAGCCCCAAACCAAGGAACCAAAACATGTTGTACTCTCTCCTTCCTTATGATTTAAGAACTAATCATGAATCCTTTTGTTTTCACTGAAACTAATAAGGGAATGTTTTAATTTTTTTTAATTTCAACATGAATGTGCAACACAGCTTGTCAAGACTCACAATTTGGATCCACGTCACAACTATATATTTGGTCTTCACCCTCATGGAATACTGGCACTTGGAACTGCTGGGAATATTAACTTCAGAGACACAGACTTCGCAACGTTGTTTCCTGGTTTTACTATATATCTTCATGTGACTTCATGTTGGTTTCTGTTCCCCTTGCTTCGAGAATATATGCTAAGTATTGGTAAGTGCCAGCAAGTCGCTGCTTCTGCAAGGTGCTAGGGTGGTGGGAGCACGCAGAGAGCGCCCTGTGGGCTCAGTGTCCTGTGAGCGAAGTCCTCTGGCCTCCTCCTTACCTGGCACTTCATGTGCTCTATGAGTGGTCGCACGTTCTCTACTGGAATTGTAGTGCCAGGACACAGACTACGTCCTTTTTCCCTGTTTCATCCAGTATCTAACATTAGGAACAATCAGTTCATATTAATCTAATAAAAGAATAAATTAATGGATGCATTTTCTATGCCTAGAGATAAAAAACAATCATAGATCTAAAAAGGGGGTCAATCACTCCTCCTGAGAGGCACTATACATATCTATATATGTGAAATGAGAAAGGTCCCTCATTGTGTCTTGGAGTAATGGCAGAGGCACAAGCTAAACATTCGCAGCTTGCTGTCTTTATGCCCCTATATATAGTATGACTTGGTTAAAATTTAAAATTCCTAAGACTGGTAGTCTTGCTTAGAATGCACAAGCTGGTGGGGGTGGGGGTGGGGGAGAGAGAGACAGAGACAGAAAGACAAACAGAGACAAAGAGACACAGAGAGAGAGACAGAGACAGACAGAGAGAGAGAGAGAGAGAGAGAGAGAGAGAGAGAGAGAGAAGTTTTAATTTTACTCTATTACCCTGAACCAGTGGAATATTTTCTGAACAGTGGAACTGCAACTACTAATTCTAAGAATAAAATTAATCTGAAATGTTATGAAGATACTTACGAATGTATAGAGAAGCCTAAGCTTGTGTTACTAGTTCTCATTCAACTTAAGGGGCTCAGTTTGTTAGGGATTCAACTGGCTCAATTCACTGACTGAACGTGAACTACAGTGATGCATAAAGTTGTATATTTATGCACATTGTGTATTATACTTCCTGGATACATAAAAAAAGATCATCTTGAAAAATTATAGTATCAGAGCCAACAAGTGGCATATTTAAGGAAAGAATTTTCTGTGATCTTCCTCATTTTCATTACTTACCAGTTTCTCAAATCACTTGTCATTATATAACTAGTAGGAAATTATTAAGCATCAAAACTCAAGAACCCTAGGCCAGGTTTTGAGGTTCTCTTTCTGGTCTGGAGCCCAAGAAAAAGCTCAGTCCATAGTGGCCTACAGTCACCACTAGAGGGCACACTACACTGGCCAGGGCACACCACACACTACACCCCACCTACCGAGCATTACTCAGCTATAAAGAATGATAAACTCGAAGCCTTTATATTGAACTGGATGCCACTAGAAGATATACTCATAAGTGAAATAAACCAGACCCACATGTGTAAATATCGTATAGTTTCCCTAGTATAAGAACTCGAAAGAAGAAATACAAATAGAAAGGTATAATACAACTAAAAGGAAAGCAAGAACTTGAGGACTAGACAATGAAGAGAGAGCAAGGAGCAGAGCTAGGAAACATGACAGGGGCAAGCCATACGGTTATATGTAGAAGATAGGCAAGGCAATGATCCTGAGAATCTTCAGAAGATTTTTGAATCTAGCAATTAATTGGAACAATTCTCACCCTGAAACTCACTTCTGTGCTCTACCGGATGTTCAGACTCCAAACTCCTACCTAGTAATTTGGCATCTGGCCTCCAGAGGGCGCACAAACTACCCTCCTAACTGCCAAGGAGAAAAACATCCCTTTTCTCCTTGTTTTGCAGACATTCGGTTAGAATACTAGAAAAGGGAAAATATTAAATAAAAAAAGATTTTTTTATAAACACCACAGAAATATATTTACCTTATACAATTTTTTGATTCAGAGTATAGCCACAGGTGAGTTTAAATAGTGCCTTTGAGAACCAGGGTGGAAACTTCATGGCGCGAGACACACGGATCCATCTCTGTCCATGGCAGTGTCAGACATAAGCAGTCGATCTCAGGGTCTTTTCCAAACAATGCCTGCAGCAGTTGCCACTCGAGTTGTCCTTAAGATGAAACCTGTGTGCTGTCCCTAGTTTATGACATTGTGAAGTCTTTCCCTTTGCCTCAAACGTTCAGTGTCTTTAGTGCTAAATAAGAGCATTCAAACCTGTAGCCAGTGGAGGCTTAGACCATCCTTGTCGCTAAGCAGAGAGCTCTTAGGACTCCTCTCAGAAAGCAGCCCTCGCCAGGTGTTAGCCAGAGCAGCCTGAGAGTGTGCCAAGGCTCCCATTCCTCTCTGCCTGCAGACTGAGGCTGGGCAGGTCGAGGGATCCGAGCACAACAGCCTGACATGCACACAGAGGACTTCAGATTTCATCCCATGGATAAGTTTCAGAGACCTGGTGAAGGACATTATGCAGAAAGGACCCAGAGGGATTTTTGTATGTTAGAAAGATCACTCAGGCAGCAGCTGGCAGAGGGCATGGAGGACAAGAGCCCAGAAACTGGTGATGGGGCGGCCCACTGTGGTGAGCAAAGGGCGGGGAAAAGGGCCAATCTAGTGCGGTGGGTTTGGCAGTAGCCTGCAGACAGGGAGCTTGTCAGGGGACATGACCAGCGGTGCTGGAAATCCAGGAGACTCCCTAAGCAGGGGGAGGGAGGCCTTAGTTTCCTCTGCACTCATACAAAGGAGAACTGACCATGAACTTGTGTAAAGTTCACACTTGCCCGGGCAGGCTCAGTTTCTTCACCCTGTAACCCATCACCCTGCTCCTTTTCTTTTGAGAAACTGGTCATTCAAATCCCTGTCATGACTTTGCATTCCTCCAGTGGAAGGAGCCTGATGTCAAATTAAGTCATTTCCTTTACAAGTTGAAGTGTGCTAAGTATTCATAACATCTAATAGATTCTGTTATGACTTTAAAATGGGTAAAATTCAGAATGGAAGGAAACACAGACCATTAGAGGGCAATTATCTCTGAAATGTGGGAGCACGGCTGTATTTTCATCTTTATACTTTGCAGTTTTCTTTCAACTCCATACTAGAGTTAAATCTAACAAGGAATCTTAAGTAACTTTTAAATGGGAAATCTTGACATAGAGACTGAACAGTTATGTAACTTTCTTAACTATTTGCTAGACTCAGACTACATCACAAAAGTGTGACTAGGTCTACTTTACCTATTTTTTTAAAGGCAATAAAAATAGTAAAAAAATCATCTAATAAAAATAATACAGAATGTCACTAAACAAAATAATAGATATTCAACAATGGTTGTTGTATTGCATATTGTTGGCTTCAGATTAGTTGTTCAGATTACCAGATATAAGCAGGCAACATTGCTTGAAAGGTTCTATAAAACAGAAAAGGATAGAGGACAAAACAAATTTAAGCTTTAACTACTTCATTCAACAGACCAGAAGCAATCAGCAGTATATTTTTCAAAGCTATCCTGTGCATATGCATAGGATAAACATATTTTTCCCTTCCTTCTTTCTTTCTTTTCTCCTTTCATTCATCCCAGTTGTTCCTTCCCTTGGGACCGTTTCTTTCCTTTTCTATTGTACCTTTCAGATTTTATTTACTTTTTCAGGTTCTCACTAGTAGCGGGACAACATTTATACATGAGAGCATGTTATTTCACTTATGAGTATGGGGTCTAGTTGCATCCATTTACCTATAAAAACCTTCAGTTTATGTTTTTTATAGCTGAGTAATACTCCATTGTATAAAAATAGCACACCTTTTTAATCCATTCCTCAGTAGATGGGCATTTGGGTTGTTTCTAAGATTTAGCGGTAACAAATTTTGCTGCTATAAATATGGGTACCCATGTATCACTGTGGTGTAATGTTTTCAGTTCTACTGAAAAAATATGCAAGAGGGGAGTAGCTGGGTTGAATGGGACTTATAATTCTAGATTTTTCAGGAACCTCCACAGTTATTCTCATGCCAGTCTATACTCCCACCAACAGTGGAGAAAGGTTACTTTTCCCCACAGCCCCTCTAGCATTTATTGGTTGACTTCTTGATGATAGCCATTCTTTCTGGGTGTGATGGAATCTCAGAGTTGTTTTAATTTGTATTCCTGAAATGACCAATGATGTTGAACATTTTTTCATATATTTACTTGCCATTTGTATTTCTTCATCTGAGAAGTCTATATTCATCTCAGATGCCCATTTTTTTTATTGGATCTTTGAATTTTGGAGGCCTGATTTTTTGAAAATCCTTTGTATGTACTATATAGAAGTGCTTTGTCGGATGGATAGTCAGTTAAAATTTTTTCCCAATTCATGGGTTTCTTTTTTATTTTGTTGGTGATTTCTTTTGATGTGCAGACACTTCAGAAAAGTTAAGATCCCCAGTGTTGATTTTTTGAAGTATTTCCCATGCATTTCTGTTTTTATTCATCAACTCTCTACCTACCCCTATGTCTGCAAGATTCCCAGGTACTTTATCCTCCAGTAGATTTAATGTTTCTGTTTTAATATTCAAATCTTTGATCCATTTTGACTTTAGTGTATGTTGATAGACATGGATCTAATTCTAGCCTTCAGTATATGAAAAGCTGTTTTTTTTTTTTCCTTTTATTAAAGAGGCTATCTTTCTTCCAGTGAACATGTTTGGCTCCTTTGCCAAAGATAAGATGACTGAGGGTGTTTGTGGTTGTGTCTGCATCTTCTAATATGTTCCATTGATCTTTAGGTCTTTTTTTTTTGTCAGTACCATGCTAATTTTATCACAGGAACTTTGCAATATAATTTCGAATCAGGGATTGTAATGTATCCTGCCTTTTCTTTGTTATCCAGGATTGCTTTTGCTATTCTAGATCTTTTCAGGTTCCAGATCAATTTTAGGAATGTTTTCTCTATAACTGTGAGGTATACTAATGTTATTTTACTTGAGATTGAATTGAATTTGTATAGCACTTTTGGGAGTGTGGCCATTTTCACAATGTTGATTCTTCCTATCCATGAACAAGGAATATATTTCCATTTTCTGAAATCCTCTTTGATCTCATTTTTCAGATTATTGTAATTTTCTCTGTATAGATCTTTTACTTCCTTTGTTAGGTTGATTCCTAAGTATTTCAATTCTTTGAATGTTATTGTGGAAGGCTCTGTTTCCCTGATTTTTCTCTCAGTGTGTTTGTGTACAGAAATGCCATTGATTTTTCAGTGCTGACTTTGTGTCCTGCTATGTAGACATCTTTTGGTGGATTTTTTGGGGTCTTGTATGTAGAGTATCATGTCATCTGCAAATAATGATAATTTCACTTTTCCCTTTCCAATCCTTATTCCTTTTATTTCTCTCTCTTGTCCAATTGCTCTTGTTAATTTTTCCAGAAGCTTATTGAATAGGAATGGTGATAGTGGACATCTTTGTCTTGTACCTAATTTTAGGGTGAAAGTTTTCAGGTTTTTGTCCATTTACAATGATGTCTGTTTGTTTGTCATAAATGACTTTTATCAGATTGAGTTAAAGACCACCTACTCTGATTTTCTGCATTGTTTATCATGAATGTGTGTTGGACTTTATTCAAAGCTTTTTCTGCATCTACTGAGATGATCATGTGATTTTTGTCTTTGGCTTTGTTGATATGGTGTGTCACATTTATTGATTGGCACATATGTAGACATCCCTGCTTCCTTGGGATGAATCCCACTTGGTCATGGTGTGTGATCTTCTTGACGAATTTCTGCATTCTGTTTGGTTATATTTTATTGAAGATTTTTGTATCTATGTTCATTAGAGATATTGGCCTGTCATTCTCTTTATTGTTTCTGTCATTGTTTTGTTTTGGTATCAGAGTAACACTTGCTTCCAGGAGTGAGTTTAGGAGAATTGCTTCTCTTTCAATTTCACTGAAGAGTTTGAGAAGAGTTAGCATTAAGTTTCCTCTAAATTTATTGTAGAATTCAGCTGTGAATCTACCAGGACCTGGGCTTGTCTTTGTTGGTAAGTTGTTATTTACATTTTCAATTCCATTGACACACTGGCTATTCAGAATTGTTATATCGTCTTGGTTCAGCTTTGGTAATTCATATGTATCTAGAAATCTGTCCATTTCTTCTGTGTTTTCCATCCTGTGAGAGTAAAGATTTTCAAAGTAGGTATTGGTGATCTTCTGCATTTCTATGGGGTTTCCCCCTTTTCATTCCTATAGTATAAATTTGAATATTTTCTTTTCTTGATAAAGGGGTTTGTCAATTCTATTTGTTCTTTCAAAGAACCAACACTTCAGTTCATTAATTCTTTGTATTGTTAGTCTCCATAGCCTTAATTTCTGCTCTAATCTTCATAATTTCCCACCTTCTTTGAGCTTTGAGCCTGACTTGATCTTGTTTTACTAAAAACTTGAAGTGCAACATAAAGTTGTTTATTTGGGCTCATTCTGCTTTCTTGATGTAAGAATTCACCACTATAAATGTTCCCTCTGAGGACTGTTTTCATTGCATCCCTCAGGTTCTTGAAAGTTATATGTGCATTTTCATTTGCTTGTAAATATTGTCTAATTTTTTCTTTAATTTTATGTGTGACCCATTGATTTTTAGGAGGCTATTATTTAGTTTCCATGTGTTTATGGAGTTTTCATGATTTCGTCAATTATTTCCATAATTTGTACTATGGTCAGATAATATGCAGGGAATAATTTCAATTCCTTTGCATTTACTTAAGCATATTCTATGCCCTAGTATATTGTCTACTTTGGTGAATGTCCCATGCGCTACTGAGAAGAATGTATATTCTGACATTGTTGGGTGTAGCACTGTGTAAAAGTCTAAGTCCACTTCTTCACAAGTTTGGTTTAGTTCTGTTATTTCTGTGTTCTTTTTTTTCCTACGTGATCTATCTCTTTTTGAGATAGATTTCCCCATTACAAAGTCTCCCATTCCAATTGTGTTACTGCTCATCTAATTTTTCATGTCTGTTAAAATTTGGCTTATATAGTTGGGTGCTCCTTCATGGGTTTTATCTCTTCCTGTTGTTATCTCTTCCTCTTATAGTTTTCCCCTAACAAGTAGGTAGTGACCTTCTTTTTCTCTTTTGATCATTCTTTGTTTGAAATTGACATACTCATCAACCAGAATAGCTGCCCCTGCTTTTATCTGGGTTCCTACAACGTGGAGTATTGTTTTCCATCCTTTGACTTTCAGTCTATGAATGTATATTTGAATTAAGTGTGTTTCTGACATACAGCATATTTTTGGATTTTATTTCTTGGTTCCTTCTTCCAGTCTGTTTCTTTTGATTGGTGTGTTGAGGCCATTTACATTGGTGATTATAACTGATATGTATTGACTTATCTTTGTCAGGATTATTTTTCCTGCTGTAGATTCCCTACTTTCCCCCTCTGTTTAATTGCTTGCTCTGCTTGGTGTTTCCTTTTTGTTGTTCTTGAAGTAGTGATCATTTTTGTCTCTTTTTAGAATACCTGTCAGTGCTCTTTGTAAGGTTGGTTTGATGGTCATTAATTTCTTCAGTTGTTCTTTGTCATGGAAGTATCTTATTTCCCCATTAGTTGTGATGGATAGATTTGCAGGGTACATCAATCTGGGTTGGAAGTTGTTTTCTTTCAGGACTTAAAATATTTCACTCCAAGTTATTGATCTGATGTTTATGCTTTTGATTCTGCTGGACTTTCCATTATAGGTCATCTGGTTGTTGTTGTTTTTTTTTTTTCCTCTAACATCTTTTAATATTATGGTATTTTGCTGAAGTTCTGAATTTCTAGGATCTTTATTATTAAGTTTCTAGATGTAAGTTTATTTTGATTATACCTAATTGGAGTTTTATAGGATTCATTTATCTATATGTCAGATTCTTTTCCCATGCTTGGAAATTTTCTGTTACTACATCTGCAAACAGTCTTTTTATGTTATTTGCGATGACTCCTGCTGTTTCATTGACATCTGTCAATCTTATATTGTTTTTCCTTGCATCATCTTGTAGCTGTTGAATTATTTCCTGCTTCCTTGTTATTTTTAAGAGATCTTCACTGTTGTGATTGCTAGGTATAGTGCTGTCTTCGAAGTCTGAAAGTCTATCTGCAATTTCATTCAAGCAGTTTCTCCAGCTTTTAATACAATTCTTAATTTTTTTGATATCTGTGTTAATCAATTTCATGCATTCTAATTATTTGCTATATTGTTTCTTTAATGTTTCCATCATTTTTCTAGTCTCCTCTACTTTTGTTTTCATCTATGTCTTCCTTAGATTTGCTGAGCATTTCTCCTATACCCTGATGGTATTGTTTCTTTACTTCAATTGCTATTTTTTTTTTTCAGAACCAGAGATTGAACTCAGACCCTTGCGCTTGCCAGAGAAGTGCTTATTCTACTGAGCCATTTCCCTGGCCCCTTAATTGCTATCATTTCAGGAATTTCTGTTGTGTTACTTCCAAGTTCTTCTATGCCCTTGTTTCTGGACTTGTTTTGGGTGGACTAGGGGTTTCAGATTGCCTTTTGCTCCTTTGTTTTGACATTTTTGAAGGTTGCAAAGTTCACCAAGCTCAGTGGCAATGATGGGAAGGTGGGGTGTGGGCCAGTAAGGCTCTGGAGACTGTCCCAGGCTTGGTGTGGCTTCTGTGATAGTGTGTGGGGAAACAGCTCAGCAAGGTCAATACAGCTCCTCTGATAGTGTGGGGGCAGGATGTGGCTCACCAAAGTTTCCAAAGTGTCCAGAGTTCATCTTGGCTTCTGTGATGGTGGGGCATGGCAGGCCAAAGCCCCATAAGGCTCCCATAATAGTGGGGGGCAGAGTAGGGCTCACCAAGTCTCTTATGATGATGTTGGGGAGCCTTCTGCAGCTCTTTGGTTCTCCCCCAAAATGGTAGTGAGGGCAGGATGCAGGTCAGCAAGGCCCCTGAAGCTGTCCAGGACTCAGCCTCTATATTACTTATTAAATGACCTAAATTTTAAAATCATTTCCATTAGAAATCCTGGTTTAGAAAGTAATAACTCATACAGACTATTGAGAGGCAGGGTGTTGTATATGCAGAAGATCTACTGAAGCTTCTTAGACGATATAGTACTTTTTAATTCTGCACAAGAATCCAGCAGGGTAATGGGCAAAGTAGCCACAAATAACTACCTGTGTGCACTGAACAGTTCAGGGAGTACTTTGCACATAGAATATAAAATCAGTAGGAACCTGTAGAGTTGAGGAGTACACAATCTACCCCAAAAGTGGTAGTTCTAGGAAGGATCAGGTAATATTTTAAAGACCAAACCCATGACCTTCTCAAAACTCAAAATCTTATTAATGGAATTACATTACCAAAGATTTGGCTGTTGATAAAATTACAAACTTGCACAGAGCTCCAAAGCTAAGTTGTATAGGAAATTTTGCTCAATATTCATGGTTGCCATAGAATAATGTAGAGAAGTTTAATCAATGGAAAAGTAGGTCTAATTATACTTTTTGTCTTATTCACTAAGGGACAGTTTCAGTCTCTAAGAAATCTTTGTCCTACATATTGAGCAAGGATGGAGGAGGAAATATTTCAGCCATCATCATTGGGGGTGCCAAAGAGGTACTAGATTGCCACCCAGGGAAATTCATCATGTTCATCCGTGAGCGGAAAGGATTTGTGAAACTTGCTTTGACCCATGGGTGAGTACTTTGTGTTTGCTAAAGGTGACTGGGTCAAGAAGGCTAAGACATTATTCAGTGACTACAAAGAAAGAAAGTAGTTTTTCTATCCCTTAAAGACCCCATCCAAGTTGATCTTAAAATAAAAGCAGATATTGTAGTTGGGCATGGTAGGGAGCACCTGAAATCCCAGAACTTGAGAAACTGAGGCAGGAATATCACAACTTCAAGGCCAACCTGAATCACAACACAAGACCCTGCTTCAAAAAGTAAATAAATAAGTGGATGAATAAATAAAAGCAGACATGAGTATTCTCAGGGAATGGAATATGAACTTCCAACCAAGATAGATTGATGCCAAATTAACAAGAACCATAAAGTTCTGAATTTTATGCACACCATATCAATTTCCAATGAAATGAACAAACACACAAAGTGAATAAAGAAGAAACTTCCTGGGACTGGAATCCAGGGCTTTCTCTTTTCTTTTTTTTCTTTATTTGTTTATTTTGAGCCCAGCCTGGCCTTGAACTGAGATCTTTTTACCTTACCCTTCCAGAGTGACCAGCAGGTGTCACCAGGCCTAGCTTGGAACCTTGATTTTTCCGCAGGATAAAATTCCAGCCGCTGGCTTGGGTCAGTACCTCCCTAAAGGATTTCAAGTACAAGGCAGTTTTCATTGTTTCAGACAGGAAGCTTACAAGATAGTATGGCAAGGCTTGAGTTTTTTGTTTTTTGTTTTTTGTTTTTTAAGAATTTCTAGGTTTTGACACAAAAGCCAGCTGGATAAAACAAATTTCTATCCTTTCCTTCCTTTTGTTATTTCCAGTGCCCACTTGGTCCCCGTGTTTGCTTTTGGTGAGAATGATCTGTACAATCAAGTTGAGAATCCTGAAGGATCCTGGCTTCGAGCTGTCCAGGAAAGACTGCAGAGGATCCTGACTTTTGCTGTGCCACTGTTTTATGGCAGAGGGTTTTTTCAGCACAGATTTGGGCTACTGCCACATCGGAGACCTGTGCACTCTGTCGGTATGTATCTCTAGGGGCTGTGACTGTTATCTTAGTTGGATCAGTGATCTTCGTTCCTGAGCAGTGGTCTAATGGGAGAGAACTAGCTTTGGTATGGACTTCCTACATAAATAACCTGCCTGTGTTTTCTGAGATTTAGTTTAAAGTGTACATTTTATTAATGAAAAGATTGCATTATCTATTGGAGTAACAGTTTATTACTTTCAGGAACACATTATTGAGGTACAAATGGGGTCCCGCTTTAGAAACAAAGTTTCTTATACTCTGTCTTCAGCGAATCTGTTTCTCCTTGCCAGCCAATTATATTATAGCAGTGTTTGGATTAACAGGTTGCAAGAGAGTCCATGAAGTAGATGAAAAGTTCTGCATAATGGGCCCTTCACCAGAGTTGGCTCACCTAGTTATCAGTTTTCTGCAGTAAAAGCCCTTTTGTGTGGTTACCTATCTTTATATGCATTCTACATTGACTGATTTTATTTTTAAAAAGTTTCATGTTTGGAGGAAACACGATGGGAGAGGAAGCAGAAGATTTAAAATGATAGAAGCAACACTACACATGACAGCGTACTCCCATGACACCAGCTCCCTGTGAGGCTGAGGTAGGAAGATTGGTGGAGCCCAGGAGCTTAGGACCAGCCTGGGCAATGCTTAACCCTTCAGGTTGGAAAGTTGAACATGAGGATGTGCTGAGCCATGGCACAATTAATCTACACTGTCTACTTCATGTGAAAACTCATGTTTTCCCCATGGATAGCCCATCCAATAACATTCAAATATAGTGAGATATATCTTAGATCAGTCCCACCCTCAAAGCGTTCCATTTCTAGAAGCATTTCATTTCACATGTGGTCTCAGGGCACCATCTTCAAATGCTGTATTTCGACTCACATGGAATGATTACTTTGCATTAAGGAAAGAGATAGGTTAATGGTGACGGCTGTAGTTTTCAAGATTGAGCCAGTACATTTATTTGTCAAAATACTAATTAATCACTTTTGATTTCTTATGTACAATGTACTATAATGAGTTTTGTTTGTTTGTTTTGTTTTGTATTTTAGAGAAGGGTCTGCAGGGTGTTCAGGGTCTCACTACTAGTTTGGACTTGTAGCGATCCGCCTGTTTACAGCCTCCCAAGAGCTGGGATTACAGGTGCACACCACCACACCCAGTCTCTATTGCCATCTCAGTGTGCCCTGGGGGCAGGGCCAGCACAGCAGTCCTGGGGATTGAACCCCTGGCCCCTGCACCTGCTTGCAGGTGCTTTAATCTGCTGAGCTATTTGGCTGGCCCTTTATAATGGGTTTTTTGAAGGGTAGAAAGAATATTACGAGGCATGATTTTTAGATTGAAAAATTTAGACATAACATAATGCCTACATGAAATAAGTTATAATTGCTAAAAGCAGAGTGTATTTTATTGAGTTAAATAATTATAGTTATTACCTATTTGGTTAAGCTTTTTTAAAAATAAAATGGTTTAGTATTTGATATAGTCAGGTTGTGCCTCTCCTGAGAAGTAATTGATTTCTTAAAGGTTAATGGGTTAAACCTAAGAATCAATGAATTGAAGAGTTGGTTTTTAAACTATTGAATAAAAATGGCAAACCCTTAGCCAATCTTATCAAAAGAAAAGAAAAGAACAAAATCCAAGCAATTGGGATTGGAAAAGGTGAAGTCATAGCAAATCATGCACAAATCCATAAGATCATTCCCACCTACTTTGAGAACCTGTACTCTACTAAGATGGAAATCACAGAAGAAATGGACAGGTTCTTACATACATGTGAATTGCCAAGGCTGAATGAAGAAGCTATAAAAATTCTACATAAACCAATCTTAAGTCAATGAAACTGAAGATGTAATTTTAAAACTACCAACAAGTACAAGCCCAGATCCTGAAAGACTTCCTGGCAAATTCCTACAAGAACTTTAGAGAAGAGGTAATACCCTTCTTCCTCCAACTCTTTAGCAAAATTGAAAGGGATATAACATTCCCAAAGTCATTCTTGAAAGCAAGAATCCAACCAAAATATGGAACTACAGGCAAGTCTCCCTAATGGATACTGACCCAAAACTCCTCAGTAAGATACTGGTAAACAGAATTCAGCAAATCATCAATGAGATTATACACCATAACCAAAGAGGATTCATCCCAGGGAGGCAGGAATGTCTCAATATATGCAAATCTACCACTATAATATACCCTATCAAGAGCCAAGGAAAAAACCACATGATCATTTCAATAAGTGTAGAAAAAGCATGTGACAAAGTTCAACACCCACTCATGATAAAAAAAAAACCCTATGGAAATTGAAATGAAAAATCGTCATTTCAATGTGATAAGAGCCATCTATGACAAACCAACAGCCAACATCCTACTACATGGACAAAAATTGAAACCTTTCACTCTAACAGGAACAAGACAAAGATGTCCACTTTCACCATTCTTATTTAGTATAGTTCTGGAAACTTTAGCCACAGTGATTCAACAAGAGAAAGAACTAAAAGGAATAAGGATAGGAAAGAAGCCATTATTTGTGGATGACAGGATACTCCACATAGAAAAGCCCAAAACCTCCCCAAAAGGACTTCAATTTCAGTTGCACAGCTGGATACAAAGTCAGCACCCAAAAATCAATAGTATTCCTGTACACAGATAGCAAACTCACTGAGGCACTGGGGAGACCACACCTCTCATAATAGCACCCCCAAAAATGAAATACCTGGGAATCAACCTAATAAAGGAAGTGAAAGACCTATACATGGAAAACTTCAGTACTCTGAAAAAGGCCATCAAAGAGGATATCAGAAAATGGAAAGATATCTCAAGTTCTTGGATAGGAAGAACCGGCACAGTGAAAACAGCTATACTTTCAAAACTGTTATACAGATGTAGTGCAATCCCAATCAAAATACCATCACACCTCACAGAAGTAGAGAAAACAATCCTAAAATTCATCTGGAACCAGAAGAGACCTAAAATATCAAAAGTAATTTTGGGCAATGAAGGCAAGGCAGAGGACATCACAATCCCTTACTTGAAATTATACAACAAAAAAAGAGAAATATATTGATTAAAAACATCATGGTACTGGAAAAAAAAAATAGACCTGAAGTCGATGGAACTAAATAGAAGTTACAGAAACAACTCCAAGCACCCTCCGCTGCTTATTTTTGGTAAGGAGTCCAAACACCTGCGCTATAAGAAAGATAGCCTCTTTAATAAATGGTGCTGGAAAACTGACTTTCTGCGTTGCAAAAGTGAACCTCAATCCTTGTCTCTCATCACGTACTCAAGTAAAATGGAAAAATCAATGACCTAAATATTAAAAGAGAAACACTAAATCTACTATCACGTAGAAGGGGCAGAACTCTTGGAGACATTGATGTAGGCAAGGACTTCATGAAGAAAACCCAAGCTTATCAAAAGTCAGAAGGGGTTTACTGCCCAGTTAGTGGACAATCGTCCTACACATTTTCAACCCTGGGTGCAGTAGCAGCGTCAGACCAGCAGGAGGCGCGGTGAGTTGGAGCACCAAAACTGCGCTGCTGAATTTTTAAATAGCTGGATGACATATGTTTATTACATAAATATGTTTGCAATGTGTATAGAAGTAGCCGGACTTATTTTTAATTAATTAGTCTGTTTGTAATTATACACATAAAACACGAATTCATTCTGATTTGTAGAACATTCACTCAATACAGAAAAAAAAAAAAAAAAAAAAGTTCCTCCATCTCTCTTTCTCTAGAGGAGTTGTTTTATTTTTCCAGATATTTTTCCATACAGTAGCAACATTAATGCATCTAGAAATATAAAATGTGTTCAGAAATCGGATCATACTTCATTTTACAACGTTTAATAATACATTTTAGACACCTTTCTGTATATGTGTGTCTATACCTATTTGCATTATCTCTTCTGTAAGAACATCACAGCCTAACATTGCACTGAATGGCTATTTCACGGTTTATTTGATAGCTTTTCTATTGAGACTTTCAGTTGCTTTTTAGTTCCCAGTTATTGCCAACAGTAGAATCCTTGTGAAATGTATTTCTCTAGTTCAGACACTTAGCTGACTTTTAAGAGTGAGGACAGGGGAGCCCGCGTGCCTGGAAGATCGCGCAGATGCTCATAATAAGCGTGTTGTGGCCGGGCTGTCAGCTGTCTCGGAGGGAGAGGCTGGTGACGTGGACGCGCTGCTGTGTCCCTGGACCTCACAGCTGCAGCCAGCACAGTAGCTCGTTTGACCCCAAGTCAAAACCACAAGGACACTGACAATCGAGTGTCTGCTAGGAGCGAGGAGGGATCTTCATGTGTCTGTCACCCGGTGGGATGGTGTGAGACCAGCGGCAGCCAGGGAAAGGGAAAAGGGCGGGGGAAGCCGGGCTCGGGGCCTCTGATTGGCCGGCCGCGTCGCCCCGCCCACGGGGCGGGGCCTGCTGGAGCGGCTCGGGTCCCCGCGCGCTACGAGTGACGCCGTCTCTGTCTTTGCAGTGGGCCGCCCGATCCCTGTTCAGAAGACGCCGAACCCGACCCAGGAGCAGGTCGAGGCGCTGCACCAGACCTACATGGACGAGCTGACCAAGTTATTCGACGAGCACAAAGGGAAGTACGGCATTGCGGAACACGAGACCCTCATTCTTCGATGACTCGACTCTCCCGAGGCGTCCGAGAGCCCCGGAGAGCTCCCATTAAAGAGAATAAATCCTCTGGAAGTTAATCGTCCCCTCCCCCGCCCCCAACCTTGGATTCTGGAATCAGATTTGTAACTGAAAAGTATTGTGTACGGGGACAGATGTTGATTTTTACCTCTAGTAAATAAAAAAAATACAGTAGATGACATACAACAAAAGATTGGAGATGACTGTGAGATTTTTAATGTTCTCCCTCGTTTTGGAAGAGTAAAACATCTCATAGATAGTGGCAAGGTACAAAATTATTCATGTGCTCCCCTCCAAATGGAAAAGTCGTGGCTCCCAAAAGTCCATTGTGCTAAACAGCACAATCGCGCAAGGTGTTGTTTTCACTAAGTATGACAGCTTTTGTTCAGCACCACTGGGACATTTAGGAGACTGTGTAAAATAATTCGCTTTATCCAGAATTAGAAGAGGGTTTTTTTTTTTTTTTTTTTTATAGGACAGCTCAGCATTTTTATGCCAGTTTAGAAACAGAATGAGTTTGTCACAGGGAAACCCAGGAGGAGGAAAGCCCGTTTCCTCATTCCTGTTCCTGCGTGCAGCCTGCATATTGCCTTTAGGCATGGAGGTCTATTGGTGAGACATATTTTCATACCTGAATACTGGGAGTTCCTAAAGCTTCTCCCGGTGACAGGCTCACTTTTACGTTTCTTCCCCAATGGTCTTTTCATGTACCACAAGCTCTGAGAGAAAGCACCCTTCCTGGTGAGAGGTGTCCAGCTCACAGCAGTCTGAGGCCAACCAGCGTGAGCAGGGAGTCGTCTCTCCTGCTTCTGGTGTCTCCCAAGGGCATGAAATAAACACTTCTTTAGTGAGTGCTTTGGTAGTCCAGCATACACACTTTGCTACCCTGTGAGGATTTTTAAAGCTCATCTCTAATGTGAGCCATCCATTAAGACCCATGTCATGTGTTCAGTCTAGAATAGTCCCAAGAGTCTCATGTGCTTAGAAGATGACTCAGTCCCAGGGGCTCTATACTCGTTGGTGGATCTCTCCACAAATGAGTCCAGTAGCTGAAGGTGCAGATAAGAGGGGGCCCCGGTTAGAGGTGAATCACTGGGAGTGTGACCTTGGAGGGGATTGTCTTGTGCCTGGTTCCTGTCTTCCCTCTGCTTTCTGGCAGCTGCGGCCTGGAGACCCTAAGAACTGAAGAGAGGACCCCAGTCTCTGCCACATGTACTGAAAGATACCATGGTCCATAAGCCACCACCCTCTGTCTTCTTCTTTCTCATGAAGTCAGTCTGCTGCAGAATTAGACTATGAGTTAAAATAAACCTCCCCTCTTTAAAGTGTGGGTATTAGGTCTTTTTTTCCCAGTGTCAAGAAAGTGACCAAATTGCCCATTTTTAGAAGGAGAAATTTCCTATGTCCAATGGCCCTGCCTCATAAACGGATTGTATGATAAGGTGTTTCGTCAATAGCAGTCCAGAAGGAGGGTTCTGATTGGTAGTTGCTAAGCATTAAGTCCCTGAGTAAGAAAGCTGCCTTGGTTCCAAACAATGTCCATCACCGCTGTCTGCATCTATGCTCAATCCGTGCTAGGTGTTATGATCAGTGAGATGGATTTGCTTTCTGACTTGTTGGTAAGAGGTCCTTCAGCTTCTAAATGCTGATTGATTGATTGATTGATTGATTGAGTTAGTATTTTAGGGAAGGATCTATAGGGTGTTTAGGGTCTCGCTACCAGTTCAGACTCATAGTGATCTGCCTGTTTACAGGTTCCCAAGAGCTGGGATTACAGGCATGTGCCATCATGCCCAGTCTCAATCGCCATCTCAGCACGCCCCAGGGGCGCAGTCAGCACAGCAGGTCCAGGGATGGAACCATCCATCGGCCCTGCAGGTGTTTTAATCCATTGGGCTATTTGGCTGGCCCAGTTTCTAAACTTTGAAACACTAACCTTTGGGCTGGAGCATGGATTGGGTTCAACAACAACGAAACAACATTCTGCTGGATGGGGGTCTTAGGGGAAACACATCTGCCACACTAGAACCTTCTCAGTTCTTTTACTGGAGGGTTTTTTTTTTTTTTTTTTTTGTCTGAATTCCTTTAACTTCACACTAGTTGAGTGATCCAGGGAACCAATGACCCATGACCTTGAAACCAGTTTGATTGTTTTTGGTCAAAGAAGGTTCTTTGAGGTATCACAAACCCATGAATTGCAGCTCTTTGAAGAAGTGTATTAAAAGCTGGTGACACATGATCTTTTGTGATTTCACACACATAAAGTTTAATTTCTTGGTCAGCAGCTGGACTACCCATCAGCAGCTGGATTATACAGTAGGCAGTTAAAATTCACACTTATTAAAGTAGAGGTAATAAAAAAACTGGAAAAGTTCTTGTGAATTTGTTTAGATTCTGCCATTAAAAATTTGAACATAGGAACTTTAATTTTGGCACAACTAATACATGTATTTCATTACATGTGGCAGTGAATGGAGTTATTGCTTCACTTCTGAGGGTCTCCAGAGGACTTAATCCAGTCATCCCAGGTATCTGTCATATATTCAAAGCATAATCAAAAGTTCCATACCATCCCATAGGTTGTAAATGAATCTCCTGATAAGAATTTTTCCTGTTGCACAAATGTGAGTTCTACAGTATATTCACTAGTGTGGTCTGACAAAAACCTCTTCTACTTTAAAGGTTTCCATGTATTGGGCAATTGCACGTGATTTTAAAGCAAAACAAACACAACAACAAAAATAACCCAGAGTACTAAGAAGGAAGTCAGTTTGTTGCCTTGGAAAAATGTCTTGGATGCTCTGACCATTTATTTACTTATGTATTTCTTTTTGAGATTTAAAAAAATTTTTAGTTTTTTTTTAATGTATTTACTACAGGGTCTTCAGGGTCTTATTATGTATTTATTTACTTATTTTAAAGAAAACATAAATATTGTATATTAGTACAGAATATCAGCAGATCTATCCATCTTCACCCTTTATTCTGTGATCTAGCCACTCCACAAAATACTTTAGGATTCCTATTACTGAATACTAGGACCAAATCTCATTTTGACTAAAAAGTGAAACAGTGGCTGGTAAAAATGTACCAGTTGTGCATTATTTTGAGAGTAATAAATGAGCACCATAGATGGGTATCTGTGTAAACTCAATTTCTAAGATGTAATAGCAGCCAGCTACTCCATTTAACATTTGTTACTTTTTAAAAATTCAGTGACATATAAAATTTTAATCAAATCAGATGTTTCAATCCCATATTGTTTTTTCATCTCTAAAATCCTTAACAGAAATTCTGTATATAACCTGACAATTTGCATGCAAAGATGTGTATATTATTTATGTATACATACAAAAATGTATGCATATATGTCTTTAGCTTTGAATGCATTTATTTAAATATCTTATTTAAAGCTAGCTGTAGAATATATGATCACCTGAAAGTCTGTACTATAAATTTGATCTTACCTTTTGAGAAACACTGGCTACTCAAAGTTAAGAGGCCAAAGAACTGCTGTACAGCTTGGGATGGACTAAACATGCAAATTAGTCAGACTAGATTGAAATGAGCTGCTGCTCCCCAAAGAGATACATTTTGTCTTGGTATTTCCTGCTAATAGTGAAAAGACAACATCCTTATAATGACCTTACACTTTTTAAAGTTTCCTAAAGAGAAATCTCACTAGTTTTCAAAAATACTAACCATTATATAAATACAGTTTTTTCATAGTTGAATTCTTCAGCTAGAATGTGTTTTTAAAAACTTCCTCTGGACTATTCCATTTAGCACCTCAAGTTTCCATTCCGCATGCACCTCGGAAAACTGGCTCAGATTTGTCAGGTTTGAATCAATTGCATCTTTCAGCATTTGCTACTGTGTTACTTACCTACAAAAAAGCAAATGTGTGGAGCTGCATGAAATTTCAAAAGCGACATAGTTATGAAAAATCCAACCATATGGAATACAAAAAGAGATAAAGTACAACAGGGGTTTCCTTTCCAACACATTAGCAATATATAATCTTTCTTTTTCATGTTTTTAAAGTAATATTGTAACTTTCATTTTCTTAACTTGTCAGGAGAATGAAAAAAAATTTTAGGTGGCCCATCTTTATTTAATTAAAAAACTTAAAAAAGCTGAAGTGCTTTTATTAATATACACATCAAGTTACCGAGATGATGACTTCATGTAATGTTCCCCTTCCAGAAGGCACTTGCAGGTAAAAAGATGCAAAGATGTCTACAAACGTTGGATGTTTGCTTGAAAAGATTTTTTAGCAGCAGTTTGACACTGAGTTTCCTCATCTAGCTGAAGATTCACAAATTCTCCATTATCAAACTGATGTCTTTGATTTAGATGACTAATGAAATTTCTAGTCATCAGACTAGGATCTCCCCAAGAAGAGACACACAAATAGGACATGTCACAGGAACTACGTGAAATGGGTGGTTATTATTACAGGGATCCAGCAAGCGCTGTCTTGTAAGATTAGATTCTTGGCACAAGGGACACTTCCAGGGGGCATGGCCAGAAGAACTTGTATTCTCTTGGTAAGTATCTATTATCAGATGTGGATGTTTCACTCCTATTACTGTTCCCTGCAGAATCTTGAGAAATCTGAAAGCTTGGAATGACAGGAGCAACACCATACTCATGTGATACTTCTTACAAGATTTGCAATGACGTCTCGTGACGAAACTTAATCTGTTTCACACAACATCTGTGGCAGACAGAAAACTTCCTCACTATGTTTTCAATATCCAATGCTCATTCTGGACACGCTCTTTCTAGTCACATTTCCCCAACACAAGGGACAATGCATTCCACTTACTCTTATTGCAGTCAGGAAACATATTCTACAAAAAAGATGCTGACAGGCCACAGTCCACACTGGCATCTTCAGCACCTCCTGACAGATGGGACAGTAGAAATCATCTTCAGTGTAGGACGTGGCTGCAGAGTGCTCTTCCGCCATGGTGGGGAACAAGGTGATGGCGGCGGTCAAGGTGGTGGTGGCAGCCAGGGCCCCGACTCTTCACCAACTTATGTATTATTTTGAGAGGAAGTCTCACTAAGTTGCCTAGGCTGGGCTTGAACCTGTGATCCTCCTACCTCACAATCTTGAGTGTAAGGGATTATAGATGTACAACACGTTGCCCTTCAGTGCTAAATATTTTAGTGCAAACCCTTGGTCTCTGCTATAAAAACAATCACACTGTGTACACATCTGGGATCTTGACTGATTATCTACCATATGCACAGGGTGAAAAGTGAAATCTTTACTTTCATTAGAAGGATTCCTGTTGTGGAAAGCATGGAATCTGGTTGTAATATCCATACTTTCAGAACTTTATGTCTCATTAAAACTACCTTTCTGTTATAGACTATCAAAGAGTGGGATGAATATGAAAAGTTTTGGGATACATCTGCTGTGTATTTCTTTCCTTTAAAAGAGATACCAGCTGAGCATGTTGGTGCATGCCTATAACCCCAGTAACCTGGAGGCTGAGACAGGAGGATCACCATGAGTTCAAGGCCAGCCAGGGCTATAACGTGAGACTCTTTTTGGTTTTTTAATCAAAAAACAAAACAAACAAGAGACACCATTATTGGGATTTGTTGATTCCTTTTTATTTTTGCCAAAGTAGACCAAGATGGCTAGTTGTCATATTTGTTGCTAACTATGTAATCTCTACTTGTGGGGCTCAAATAGGTACTACAAGTAGAATTTATACATATTTTTAAGGGAGAAAGACAGAACAACTTCTAAAAATACAGCACTTTCTCTAGTTTCTTTTCTTTCTTTCTTTTTTCTTTTCTTTTTTTTTTTTTTTTTTTTTTTTTTTGTATTTTTTTAGGGAAGGGTCTACAGGGTGTTCAGGGTCTCACTACTACATTTGACTTGTACAGCCTCCCAAGAGCTGGGATTACAGGTGTGTGCCACCATGCCCAGTCTCAATTTCCCTCTCAGTGTGCCCCAGGGGTCGAGCCAGTACATCAGTCCCTGGCCTCTGCACCTGCTTGCAGGCGCTTTAATCTGCTGAGCTATTTGGCTGACCCTTCTAGTTTCTTTGTGATGATAAACCCAGAAGCAATTTTCTGTATTTAAAACAAAAGGATTTCTCTGCTACCTTATGTTTCAGCAATTGCAACTAATCCTTCCCAAATCCATGGAGTTCAGTATCTTCAATCTCTATGCGACAAGGAGAAGGTTTCCTCCCTCCGTAATTAATCCCTGGGATGATGAGTCTCTCAGGAGCAGAATCTGGGTCTCATTTTAATTCGATCCTATTCCTCACAGAGCAGACCTTCGGCAGTGTCTGTGAACACTAACCTGAATTTTGATGAGTTGTGTCCCAAAGCAAATTTTAAAGCAAGAAGAGCCATCCTAGTCTAATTGTTCCCTCTGCAGATGAAGTGGTTGAACCCCTGTGAGGTTCACACAGATTGATACTGACTGCGCTCATAATCCTGTGTCCCAAGTTAAACCGTGTTATTTATCCCATCATTGACTGATGAACCTAAGAATCTTCTGTAAAACAGTAGTATCAAAAAGTAGACTAGGGTTACAAGTTACACATTAAGCAAGGAATTGCACAATTCTGAAAGAATTCTGTTTTACTGCTATTGAGAATAT